GCCGGGCCCTGCTGCTCTCGCAACTGAAACTCCAAGCAAGGCCATTGCAAAACCTGCGTGGGGGAGAAGGAAGGGGTTTGTTTCGGTTGCTCCTAACGGCAGTTTTTCCCATCCTGCCCTACGAAATAAAAATCCAACACCTTTTTTTTTTTAAATTAAAAAAAAAGAGGGGAGCGAGGAAGCAAAATCCGCCAACGGGTTAAAAGTGTCCTAAATAATTAAAAAAAGTGAGATTTTTGTAATTTAAATACAAATATACTTACAAAATCTTACAGAGGCTATTTACATCCCTCTCCCCCAACCTGACAGCGCGCTCAGTTCCTACAGGAGACGGCCCGGGAGGAGCGGGGAGAGCAGAGCCGGCCGGCCCCGGGGTCCCCACCGGCTCCCCCCCCGCCTCCCCGCCGCCTGCAAGCCACTCGCCGTCCCCAAAGTTTGCCCAGGCTGGATAAGGAGCTGCTTCCCAAGGCAGAGCCCTGGTCCTCCGGTGGGCGGGGGTCTCAGACGGTGGTCTCGCCCTGCTTGCTGTTGGTGAGCCTGGTGTAAAACTTCCTCCAGGAGTTCAGGGTTTTCCCAGACCAGATCCAGAAGCCCGAGGTGATGCCCACGATTAAGGTCATGAGATACTTGATCATGAAGACGGTGAAGTCGGGGCTCATGGGCGGGTGGTGGCTGCTGTGGTTGTTGGGGCAGGGGATGGCGTAGCTCTTACAGCTCTGCGTGACCCAGCTCCTCTCCCACTGTTCCCTAAAAGCTTGCTCGTAAAAATAGCAGGCAATGACGATGGTGGCCGGCACTGTGTAGAGGACGCTGAAGATGCCTATCCTCACCATGAGCTTCTCCAGCTTTTCCGTCTTGGTGCCGTCGTGCTTCATGATGGTCCGGATCCTGAAGAGGGACACGAAGCCGGCCAGCAGGAAGGAGGTGCCGATGAACAGGTAGACGAACAAGGGGGCCAGCACGAAGCCCCGCAGGGCGTCCACATTGTTGATGCCCACAAAGCAGACGCCGCTGAGGACGTCCCCGTCCACCTGCCCCAGGGCCAGGATGGTGATGGTCTTGATGGCTGGCACGGCCCAGGCGGCCAGGTGGAAGTACTGGGAGTTGGCCTCGATGGCCTCATGGCCCCACTTCATGCCAGCGGCCAGGAACCAGGTGAGGGAGAGGATGACCCACCAGATGGAGCTGGCCATGCCGAAGAAGTAGAGCATCATGAAGAGGATGGTGCAGCCCTCCCGCTTCGTGCCCTGCGCCACGGTGCGGGAGCCGTCCTCGGCGAAGCGCTCGTTGCAGACCACCCTCTCCTCCAGGAGGAAGCCGGCGATGTAGGCCACAGCCACCGCCGTGTAGCAGCCCGAGAGGAAGATGATGGGCCGCTCTGGATAGCTGAAACGGCGCATGTCCACCAGGTAGGTGAGCACAGTGAAGAGGGTGGAGGCGCAGCAGAGCACAGACCACACGCCCACCCACAGCCGGGCAACGATCCAGGTGCGGGAGAAGCGCAGCTCCTCGGGCCCGAAGTACATGAGCCCGTAGAGGCGGCCGGGCTCGCAGGGCGCCCCGCAGTCCTTCTCCCCCAGGAAGCGGTAGTTCAGGTAGGAGGGCACCT